ATTTTGCTTTTAACTGAAGTTAGATTATACTTACACATATGAAGTATAGTAATTATTGGTTTTTTGTGGGGCTAATAATCATATAACATTAAAAATTTTTTTTTTTAACATTAAAAAATTTTTTGCAGGGTTGAATATTAATTATTTAAGTATCTTTAGTGTTAAGAATCTAGTAAATACTTAGTGAAGTTAGCTTTATGGCACTAGTTAATAAAAGAGTAAAAGGCCATGAATTAGTCTTCTCTAACTGAGTTCTTGCTTCTAAAACTCCAGTAGGAGTTTCATAGGATGTTGGCATGTTTGTATATTGTTATATGTCCTGGACTACTACAGGGATCCAAGCCCATGTTGTCAGTTCATATTTCTTAAGCACTCTAATAATTTTATTTTTGTTTTGTTTTAACCATTTTTCATGGATTCCAGGTTGAACTTTGATTATACTACAGAGTATTGGCCAAGTGTAATTCAATTTTGGCAAGTGCCAATATTGTACTTTTGCTTTCCAGAATAGAGTATTCCAAGTAAAGTGATGTTGACATTGAGTCTCCACTTGGTTAGTGAACTCTTCTATAATATAAACTTGTTTCTGAGAAATATAATAATAATAATAAATAGTATTTATTGGTTGCCGTGCTCTTAACTTTTTCTGTCTATAATTTTTCTCAGGCATTATATTCCCTGTAGTCCAATATGAGATGTAAACCTGGCCTTTATAAAGTCACTAATTTCAGTTCCATTTGTATAGTGGTTTCAACATTCAAAGCACTTTTTAGACATTGTTTGATTCTGATACTAGCCCTATGAAAAAGCTTAAGCAGGTGTTGTTATTTTGATTTTTACGGAGTCTTAAGAGAATTTAAGTGACTTGCACAACATCACACAGCCAACAAGCACAAGTGTGGGTTCAAGAAATCAGTTTTTTTGGGGTGCTTGGGTGGCTCAGTTAAGTGTCTGACTTTGGCTCAGGTCATGATCTCGTGGTTCGTGGGTTCAAGCCCTGCCTTGGACTCTGTGCTGACAGCTAGCTCAGAGCCTGAAGCCTGCTTTGGATTCTGTGTCTCCCTCTCTCTTTGACCCTCCCCTGCTCACGCTGTCTCTCTCTCTCTCTCAGAAATAAATTTTTTTGAAAAACATTAAAAAAAGAAATCAGTTTTTTCTAGCTCATAGTTGAACACTCTTTCTTGAAGCTAAATGCACTCTGTTTTCATGATTAAAAAATTGGTTCTTTTATCATGGTAAAGGTTTCTAATGTGTAACAACTTACCTTAAATGCTGTAGAATCTAATGAATTCCTTTCATGTGCAATGTACATACATAGCCTCTGGTTTTAGGGAAAGATTATTGGTGGTATTTAGTCAGAAAACCAAATCTATGACTTGGATTTGGGATTTGGGATATTCTCACCTAGGTGAGCATTTGTATCTATTCCTGGTTTCATCTTTTAGTTCCAGGAGAATATACGTGATCCACCTCACTAGGTGTCACAACTGTTTGCTAGTTGGCAGCCTGTGTAGAACTGAGGTCCAGAAATAATTTAGCAAGAGAGTTGCATAAAGACTGAAGGCTACTTAACTCTGTGTACTTAGTTCTGCGTAAAATGCTGGTGCAACACCTTGCCTTTCTTTCTTGCTTCAACTAGTACTACCAGTTGTCTGTCTAGATCTACTTAATTCACCTTCTTTACTCATAAAATAATTGGTTAACTGTCTGCCTGAAATTTCATTTTTATGTTGTAACTGAGGTTGTAACAATTTCATAAGTGAGTTTGAGCATTAAAAGTGTAATCCAGGTGTGTCTGGCTGGTTCAGTTGGTAGATCATGCGGCTCTTGATCTAGGGGTTATGAGTTTGAGCTCTATGTTGGGTGTAGAGATTACTTAAAAAAAAAACAAAAAATCTTAAAAAGAAAAGCATAATCCATATACATAGTCACATTTTGTAGGATAAATACCTAAAAATTTTAAATTAATTTTTAGGTTAATCATTCCTACTTCTTCAACATAATATTTAAATTTCTCTTTGCCTTTCCCTAAATTCTAATTTGACTAGTTAAAAAAAAATAACAAGATTTGTTTTTTCTTGACCTTGCTTTAAAGACAGCATCATGTTTTTACTTTCCCACAAGTGTATGTGTTTGCTTTGCCCTTCTGTAAGACCACAGAACAACACTCTAGTGTTGATTTCCTTTATATTCCTTTTTGTTTATCACCTGGTCTGACCACTAAGCTTATATTATACCATTCTCTTGACTCCTTTCAGCTCAAAGTTTTTATCATCCAGGTAAGGCATTTTAGTTAGTTCCATCGCCTAGTTTGTCATCTTCTTTCTTGACATTCAATCTTACCTGAACTTGAGCAGCATTAAGAAATTTGAGTAATGAGTTTATAGGCCTTTAAGAAATCCTCTTTAAGAAGAATTGTGCTGTCTCATTTCTGGCTTTATTTCTTTAGGGTTCTTGTTATCTTTTCTAGAGTAGAAACTGAGCCCCATTTTAACATTATTTCAAAACTTATTTTAAAGCTGTGGTAGCAACTTTCTTTCAGTAGCTAAACCTCTTCCGTAAAAACTTTCAGAAGTCACAAATAATTGTTACTTACCTTCTAATTCTAAATTTAGAATTCTAATTTTAAAATTAAAGAAGCTAGAGAGGTTTTTCCTCTTTTTTTGATCATTTTAGAGATATTTTGGCCAGCTAGATTTAGAACCTATTTTTTGTTGTTTTTTTAACTGTGTGGAATGCCCCTTTTCTTTGGTTATTTGGTGATGACATATGTATCCGTTTTTATGGCAGTTTCTATGTTGACATTCCAGGTATAGTGTGTGTGTGTGTGTGTCCTTCCCTTTGAGGAGTGGGTTATGGAGTTATAGGAGAAAGAAGTTATTTCCATTTCATTTTTTTCTCTTCACATTTATTTATTTGACTTAGTCTATGAAAAAAGAAGTGTTTTCTATTTAGATAATTGTGTTTTCCCAAAATAATTTTACTGCCATTTCAGTTTTCCACTCATATTATTTCCTAAACTTTTTTTCTGTGTCTCAGCTCCATCTTTACCGTAGTTTGAGAGAATTGAGACTGCTTTTTTACTCAAACTGATGTTTATGCCTCACAAGGGGTAGGGCTTGGAGTTCATAAACCATCTTTCATATGCTCATTTAAGTAAGATTGATATATCTTGTGCTATATCTTGATTTTTTTTCTTATTTATATGTATATTACTTCATTAGTATATCACATTAGTTATCAAAACTTTATTAGTAACTAGTTCACTAAGGTGGGAGAAAGGAGATAGATCAGCATTTCTAGTTTTGCTACTACCAGCTTAAAGAAGAAAAATACATACATATATATGTAATGTACACACGTATATACCTTATTACACATGTACATGCTCATGCATATATACACACATACACATATACTTTTTTACACTGAATTATTGCTAAGTGTAGTTTACTCCATAACTTCTTAGGTTTAATAAACAATGTGTATTGGGGCACCTGGGTGGCTCAGTCGGTTAAGTGTCCGACTTTGGCTCATGTCATGATCTCACAGTCTGTGGGTTCGAGCCCCACATGGGGCTCTGTGCTGACAGCTCAGAGACCGGAGCCTGCTTCAGATTTTGTGTCTCCCTCTCTCTCTGCCCCTCCCCCGCTCACTCTCTGTCTCTGTCTCTCAAAATAAAGACATTAAAAAAATTAAAAAAATAAAAATAAACAATGTGTATCATTCTTTATTTTAACTGCGACTACAAAATAATGAAATTAATTTGGTGCCAAACAGTGTCATTCTCATTAATCCATATCAATCTCTGAGGATTTTTTTAAAGTTTTTTTTATAAAAAACTTTTAAAATGCTTTTATTATTAATTTTTGAGAAAGAAAAAGAATGCGAGCAGGGGAAGGGCAAAGAGAGAGGGAGACACAGAATCTGAAGCAAACTCCAGGCTATGAGCTGTCTGCACAGAGTGTGATGCAGGGCTTGAACCCAGTGAGATCATGACCTGAGCCAAAGTCGTATGCTTAACCAACTGAGCCACCCAGGCACCCCTCAGTCTGTGTGTTTTATAATTCTTTGAACATGTTAATAGGGAAAAAGGAACTGATTATAGTTTTGCCATATAGTTTTAAGGAGCTGAAAGTAATTGCGTTTAAAATACTTGGTTGGCAGTGGGACCTGGCTGGCTTAGTCAGTAGAGTATGTGACTCTTATTCTCAGGGTTGTGAGTTCAAGCCCCACATTCAGTATAGAGCCTACATTAAAAAATAAAATAAAATAAAATGTGCCGGAAAATATTTGGTTGGCAAGTGAAAATATCAAAAATATTCTAGAAAAGGAAATTATAGGAAATAGAACCACCAGATACTAAAACGTATTATAAAGCAACCATATTGAAGCAGTATGGTAGAACATTAGATGTGTAGATAATGTGCTGACAGCTCAGAGACCGGAGCCTGCTTCAGATTCTGTGTCTCCCTCTCTCTCTGCCCCTCCCCCGCAGATAATGTAGATAATGGAAAAATAGATAGAAATGTTGTTCTTTATATAGATTTGACATGTTAAAGAAGGCACTATTAAGCAGTAGGAAAGGGGATGATTATTTAATAAATAGGGTGAGAATAAGCAGTTATCAATATTGTAGAAAAATATATTTAAGCCCACATCAATACTGGATGTAACAAAATAAATTTCAGATAAATTTAAGTTAGGTATAGATAATTACATTATTGAAAATCTAGAAAACAAAAGGACTTAATATGTTCTAATTTCTCTGGAGTTTCTAAGCAATTAGAAAACTAGAAAAGGAAGATGAGATTGCATACGCTAATATGTTTTATTATAAATGTAGATCTGTGAACATTATAGAAACGCATGGCTATTTTATGTTCACAACCTGAAAAATTAGTCTTCTTTATTCTTCATACCAGCTGGAAACCTTTTAGCTTCTATATTAGTTAATGGAACAGAGAATGCAGTTCTTTATCTAAAATTTTATTCTGTAGATGCATTGAAAGTTATACAGGAGCTCGTTGTGAAGAGTTTTTTCTCCCAAGCTCCAGCATCCAGACTAAAAGTGACCTGTTTGCAGCTTTTGTGGCACTGACTGTTCTTCTAGGAACTCTTATCATTGGAGCCCTCTACTTCCTTTTCAGGTAACCAAAATAGAAACATACTTTTGAAAAGAAAAATGTAATACATAAAGTAGTTTTTCTACTAAATAATTAATATGCCCTCTGGATCTAGATATTTTTGCAGATAGTGTTTTCTGTTTAAAGTTCACACTCTAATACAGTTACTGTTATAAAATTAATAAGTCACTTTGAAATTATTTTAAATAATTTCTATTTGTTCTTTGTTACTGACATCAAGCATTGACTTCTGTAAATTAATTAGGTAGACACACATTCACTAAAGTCATCATGCCAAAGCACCTAAATATTAGGGCTAGGTTTATTTTAAGTACATTTTGTATGTGAAAGATAGGAAACGACTTATGCAACATTGTAAATACACATTTAATACCTGTGGTTAATATCTTGGGTCAATTCTTTATTTGGTGCCTACTATGTGCTAGCCATGTGCTAAGCATAAAGAATACAATAGTGGAGAATCTACTTCCAAAGACAAAAGCACACTGTATACACTGCATGTTAGCTAACCTGACAATAAATTATATTTAAAAAAATACAATAGTGAACAAGACAGACATTTTTCATAATCATAGAGACCTAAATCAACTTGGAGAGAGACAAATAAGGAGGAAATTAATTTGGGAATACTTGTAACTCATAAGACAAAAAGAAAAATTACTCCTATAAAGCAATAAAATGTGGTAGAGATTACTTATTAGTTTTGGTCTTCACCTTTTTCTGGAATTTTGTGAAAATAATAAATATAGAATTTATAAGTTTAGGAGTCATCTCATATCATAACTCATTATTATGATTTATTAAGTGCACACTGTATGCTCTTGAAGATGCTTGTGAAAATGGAGCTATAAGTAATAATAAAGATACGAGAAGGCTTAAGAAGTTTATATTCTAGGAAAGGTTATATATGTAAAATTATTTTCATAAAATCCTCCTTTCTGAATTACTTTATACCTTGGAGTAATTAAAAATTGGGGAGAGACTGCTTTTTTAAAATAAATGAAAATTATATATTTTATTCCAAAATATATCATTTAAGCAACCTCATGTTTTACTTCAGATACAAAAAATTCAATAAAATTTTCTTTAGATACAAAAAATTCAATAGAAACCCATTGTATCAGATTGTATTTTCCCAAAGATAGCTACAGTATCTCTCCTTCCCACATGCTGTTCTCACCCTATTTAACCTTAATTACCACCCTAAAAGCTCTGTCACCCAACATAGTTACATTAGGAGTAAGACCTTCAATTTATGAATTTAGGGGGATACGGTATAATCTGTAATAGCCAGTATGTGTGTTAGCATTTTCCATACAAACAGAACCAATAGAATGTGCAGAGAGACAGGTTTATTTTAAGGAATTGGCTAATTGAGCATGGAGGCTGGCATGTCCATAGTCTTCAGGGTGAGCTGGCAGACTGGAGACTCAGGGAATAGTGAGTGCTACAACTCAACTCTGAAGGCTATTTGCTGACACAATTTCTTCTTACTCAAAAGAGGTCAGTCTTTGTTCTTTTAAGGCCTGAGACTGATTAGATTAAGCCCTCCCCCATCATGGAAGGCAATCTGCTTTACTCAAAATCTACAGATTTAAAAGTTAATCTGAAAAACACTCTTACAGAAACATCCGGAATAATATTTGACCAAATAGTCTAGGCACCAGGGCCCAGCCAGGTTGCTACCTAAAATTAACCATCACAGTATGAACAAGAAAATTATGAGCCAAGGGGACCTTGAGTGGCTCAGATGGTTAAACATCTGACTCTTATTTCAGCTCAGGTCTTGATCCCAAGGTGGTGAATTTAAGCCCTACATTGGGCTCTGCTTGGTGTGAAGCCTACTTAAAAAGGAAAGAAAAGAAAATTATAAGCCAGTCTTATTCATTGAACCTAGATGTAAAAGATTAAAAATTAGCAAACCAAGTTCAGTAATGTATTAAAAATTATGATCTTGGAATTATTCCATTATTATAAGAACACAAAGTTGGTGTAAAATTATTAATTAAAGTATTTTATCTAGTTTGTATATTAAAAGAGAAAATTCTTTTTTTAAAAGGTTTACTTATTTTTTGAGAGAGACAGAGTGCAGGCTGGGCAGGGGCAGAGAGAGAGGGTGACACAGAATCCGAAGCAGGATCTAGGCTCCAAGCTGTCAGCAAAGAGCCTGACGTGGGGCTTGAACCCGTGGACTGCGAGATCATGACCTGAGCCAAAGATGGATGCTTAACTGACTGAGCCATCCAGGCACCAAACATCCTTACCATTCTTAAAAAAAAAAATAACGATCCTGAAAATTTTTCAGATAGGATCGCAATATGTTTGAAATAGTTATTTTCCATTTTTGAATAAGAACATATGCAGAGTCATGGTATTAATAATGCCAAGAGTAGAGTTAATTTGAAAATGAGTTGCTATTGCTTATAGAATCTACACTTAGATTTGGGCTTATATATACTGACCAAATGAAATGTATTTGTCAGAGTGGTGCTTTCAAGAACGAAACCAAGTCTGTTTACTATAATAGTTTCTGGGTCCGTTAGTGGTTGACATTGCTTTAACTGTGGACCTTTTGAAATTTAATAACTAATTAGTGTCATCTTTGAATGAGGTCCAAATGATACCTCACTAATGCTGAAATCTAGCCTAGAATCAGTAGTGTTTCATGAGGAGGAACTAGGGTATTTTTAGAAGACTCATTTCATTTTGCTGTAGTAAAATGGTTTTGAATTCATTTTCACTAATATAAGGTAATACTCTAGGCACTGACATTGAAAAAAACTAAAGCAAGTATACATTACAAAATCTTGTTTGATATTAGAAGTAGTTTTAAAAAAAACTGTCATGCAATATAACCTATATTAATTGTCCAGATGACCAAGAAGATTGAACTACAACCTTAAAAAGGTACAAAATGAGATTTTTAAGTCATAAATAGTGAGGAAAGCCACCCCATATCACAAGGGTCTCAGCTAATAATGAAAACCTCTTGTTTTTCAAAAGGGCAAAAACATTACGCTAAGTGTTAAAACATTATGAAAAAATTACATTAATAACAGCTCTCCGATTTTAAAGGAAAAGAACTAAGTGCATCATCAGCATCTGAGGTCCCCATAATGACCTGCCTGACTTGGTGGATTTGTTAAATAATGGGGCACAGTTTTAGGGCAGTCTTATCAATTTTAGGTAATTCTGGTAAATGGACCTCCGAATTTTCAAGTTTAAACGTCCTTCTTCGTGGGGCGCCTGGGTGGCTTAGTCGGTTAAGCGTCCGACTTTCGCTTAGGTCATGATCTCGCGGTTCGTGGGTTCGAGCCCCCCCCTGCTGACTGCCAGCTCAGAGCCTGGACCCTGTTTCAGTCTGTGACTCCCTCTCTCTCTGACCCTCCCCTGCTCACGCTGTCTCTCTCTCTCTCCTAGAAATAAATAAAACATTAAAAAAAAAAAAAGAATACACTTAAACTTCCTTCTCCTTTTCCACTTACCTGCTTTCTATTTGTGTGTTTCTTTCCTCTTTACTGTCAGGAAGGGCCACCTTCAGAGGGCCAGTTCAGTCCAGTATGATATCAACCTGGCAGAGACAAGCAGTACCAGTGCCCACCACAGTGAGTAAATTCAAAATAAAATGCTCATTTTAAAGCCTTGGATGAGATTGTTGGTGTTACATGTAGAGATTTGTATCTATCCAAAAAGGTTGACTCAAAATTTTTCTAGGAGTTTTGACATTAAGATGGATTTCTTTTTCACATTAAAATGGATTTCTTATTAGCATGACACAGGTCATCTTTTTTCACCCCAGAGAAAACCATGTTATCTCAGTATGTGAAATTATGTTGTTTGCTATAGTGTGTTATATGTATGTAAGGATTAGTTTCTCCAGAAGTAATTTTTTTAATGTTTATTTATTGTTTAGAGAGAGAGTGCCTGCAGGGAAAGGGTAGAGAGAGGGGGGACGAAGGATCCAAAGTGGGCTCCATGCTGACAGCCACGCCCTGATGCAGGGCTTCACCTAATGAACCATGATATCATGACCTGAGCCAAAATTGGATGTTTAACAGACTTAGCCACCCATGCACACCAGAAGTTATTTTAAGTGGGCTGTTATAGAGAGAGGAGGATATTTATCTGTATAAGGATAGGAAAATCTTTGGGAAACTTGTAGACTAATTAATGTTTGAAAAGTTTCTTGAAACTTCTACTTCTGGTCAAGATGGAGTAGCAGGAACTAGGACTGGATATACCTCCTACTTGAACAGTTAAAAAAAAAAATTTGGATACAGGGGCGCCTGGGTGGCTTAGTCGGTTAAGCGTCCGACTTTCGCTTAGGTCATGATCTCGAGGTTCGTGGGTTCGAGCCCCGCGTCTTGCTCTGTGCTGACTGCCAGCTCAGAGCCTGGAGCCTGTTTCAGTCTGTGACTCCCTCTCTCTCTGACCTTCCCCTCCTCACGCTGTCTCTCTCTCCTAGAAATAAATAAAATATTTAAAAAAAAAAATTTGGATACAATACATGAAGCACAGATTTTCAAGACATTGGACATCAGTAAACAAAGGATCATGATCCCTAAGAGTTGGAAAACAGAAGTAAGCCAATGATTGCCTCAGATTATTGCCTTGAAAGACTTTACAGTCTGTGGCACAGAATGCGGAACCAGGCTGAGCTTGGTAGACTCCCTGAATTGAGAAAATGAAACTCAGAGTCTAGAAAGATTGAGGTGGCTACAATTCAGTGAACAGAATACTGGAAAAGATAGGTACACAGAGAGAATTCTAGAGATCTCCAGTTCAGGTATTCATTCAGCTGAGTATTAATCAGAACATATGTAGTAGGGAAATAATTGAAGTTAGGTATAGAATTACTTCAGGGCACCTGGATGGCTCAGTCAGTTGAGCATCCAACTTCAGCTCAGGTCATGATCTCATGGTTTGTGAGTTCAAGTCCCGATCTGCCTCTATGCTGAGAGCTCAGAGCCTGGAGCTTGCTTTGGATTCTATGTCTCCCTCTCTCTCTCTCACCTCCTCCCTCCCTCACTCTCTGTCTCTCTCCTTTAAAAATAAATTTAAAATTTTTTTTAAATAATAATTACTTGAAAGGATTAGAGATATCCAGTACTCACACAGGGCTTGGTAAATGTCTGTTCCCGAAAATAAAACTAAAAGAAACAAACACACAAAAAAATTATTCATGGGGCATTATTAGGTAGACTATAGAGAAAGAGTGTTTCCCCTGTAGAGGGGAATAATTAGCTCTACATTAAGCACTATTCCAGCCCTGCCTAACAAACCTTAAAAATGAGAACTGAGTCTATTTGTTACCAAATAACTGCATCCCAGATTAAATGTCGGTAAGACAACAATAACAACAATAAACAAAAAAACAAGTACCCAACAGGTACAGTTCACTGCCTTGCATCGAATAAAAAATTACCAACCTGTTGGTTTAACATGTGCAATCAAAGTTAAAGGCCACATTAACAGAATAAAAGAAAAAAACCACACGATAATCTCATTAGATGCAGGAACAGTAGTTGACAAACCTCAAAATCCATTAATGATAAAAATTCTCAAGAAAATAGTTATAGAGGAAATTTCTTCAACATCGTAAAGGTGATTTATAAAAATTCCACCACTAACATCATTATCAGTGGGAAAAAACAGAAAGTTTTGTCTCTTGTACTTTTCCAGTAAAAGGCATGAATGCTCACTCTCACACCGGAAGTACTAGAAGAACAACCAGACCTAATGTTTTTTAATAATGGCATCCAATCTAAAAGGAATAAATTAAATTATTTCTGGCTGCAAATGACATGATTTTATATGTAGAAAACACTAAATACTCCATTAAAAACTGTTAGAACTAATAAATGGCTTGAGTAAAGTTGCATGATACAAAAAATGTATAAGAAAAATTACAATTGATTATACCAACAATGATCTGTCTGAAAAGGAAGAAAATCAAAAAAATTCTATTTACAATACCACCAAAATCATTACTTAGAAATAAATTTAAACAAGGAGAACAAAGATCTGTACATTGAAAACTATAAAACATTTATAAGAGAAAACAAAGATACAAAAATGCAAAGATACTCCATTTCATGGATTGGAAGAATTAATAATGTCCACACTACCCGGGGTGATATACAGATTTAATGAAATTGCTATCAAAATTCCAATAGCATTTTTCACAGAAAATAGAAAGTAGGAAAAAAAATCCTAAAATTTGGAGCTACAAAAGACCCTGAAAAGGCAAAGCATTCTTGAGAAAGAAGAAGCAAGTTGGAGGCATTACATTTCCTGCCTTCAAATTATATTACAAAGTTATTGTAATTAAAACACACACATAGACCAATAGAATAGAATCAAGAGCACAAAAATAAATCAAGTATTTACAGTCAGTGAATTTTTATAAGTCTTTATTCATATTCCAGTTAGTTAACATACAGTGTAATATTGACTTCAGGTGTATAATATAGTGATTTAACTCCTAATCCCCGTCACTTATTTCACTCATCCTCACCTCCCCCTGACTCCCCTCTGGTAAGCATCAGTTTGTTCCTCTATAGTTAAGAGTATGTTTCTTGGTTTGCCTCTATCTTTCTTTCCTCTATGGTCATTTGTTTTGTTTCCTAAATTCCACATATGAGTGAAATCATATATTTGTCCTTCTTTGACTGACTTATTTTGCTTATTAGCATAATGTTTTCTAGCTCCAGAGACATCATTGCAAATGGCAAGATTTTATTCTTTTTTATGGCTAACATTCCATTGTACAAAACCCATTTATTTATCCATTCATCAGTTGATGGACACTTGGGCTATTTCCATAACTTGGCTATTGTAGATAATGTTGCAATAAACATTGGGGTGCATGTATCCCTTTGAATTAGTGTTTTTGTATTCTTCGGGTAAAAACCTAGTAGTGCAATTGCTGGGATGGTAGGGTAGTTCTATTTTTAACTTTCTGAGGAATCTCCATACTGTTCTCCAGTGGCTGCACCAGTTTGCATTCCCACCAACAGTTTAAAGGGTTCCTCTTGCTCTGCATCCTCACCAACATCTGTTGTTTTTCTGTGTTGTTAATTTTAGCCACTCTGACTGGTGTGAGGTGGTATCTCATTGTGGTTTTGATCTGTATTTCCCTGATGATGAGTGACATTTGAGCATCTTTTCATGTGTCCATTGGCCATCTGTGTGTCTTCTTTGGAAAAATGTGTATTCATGTCTTCCACCCTTTTTCAATTGGATAATTTGGGAGGGGAGGTGTTGACATGTATCAGTTCCTTGTAGATTTTGGAAGACACTAACCCTTTATGGAATATGTCATTTGCAAATATCTTCTCCCATTCAGTAGACTGCCTTTTAGTTTTGTTGATTATTTACTTAACTGTGCAGAAGCTTTTTATTTTGATCAAGTCTCAATAATTTATTTTTGTTTTTGTTTCCCTTTCCTCAGGAGACGTATCTAGAAAAAAGATGCTATGACCGATGTCAAAGAGGTTACTAATGCCTGTTTTCTCCACTACCATTTTTATGGTGTCCTGTCTCACATTTATGTCCTTAATCCATTTTTAATTTATTTTTGTGTATGGTATAAGAAAATGTTTCTTTTTTTTTTACATTATGCTATCCAGTTTTCCCAACACTTTTGTTGAAGAGACTGTCTTTTTTCCGTTGGATATTCTTTCCTGCTTTGTCAAAGATTGACTAATTGTGGGCCCATTTCTGAGTTTTCTACTCTATTCTATTTATCTTTGTGTTTCTTTTTGTGCTAGTTCCATACACTACAACTACAGCTTTATAATAAACTTGAAGTCCAAAATTGTGATGCCACCAGCTTTGGCATTTCTTTTTCAGGATTGCTTTGGCTGTTCGGGGTCTTCATGGTTCCATAAACATTTTAGGATTATTTGTTCTACCTCTGTGAAAAATGCTGCTGGTAATTTGATAGGGACTACATTAAATGTGTAGATTGCTTTGGGTAGTATAGACATTTTAACAGTATTTGTTCTTCTAATCCATGAGTATGGAAAGTTCTTCCATTTCTTTGTATACTTTATTTTCTTTTATCAGTAGTTTATGGTTTTCAAGGTTTTCAGGTCTTTGGTTAGGTTTATTCCTAGGTATCATATTATTCTTGCCTTAATTATAAATAATCCCTTGCTTTCTCTTTCTGCTGCTTCATTATTGGTATATAAAAATGCAACAGATTTCTGCATGCCACTTTTGTATCCTGCACCTTTACAAAATTAATGTATCATTTCCAGCAATTTTTTTGTGTTTTCTTTTGTTTTCTATATAGAGTACTTCACTGAATTTAAAAGTTTCTGCACAATCAATGAAATGAGAATACAGTCTAAGGAGTGGGAGAAAATATTTACAAACCATACATCTGATAAGAGGTTATAAGAAACTTGTACAACTCAATAGCAAAAAATCAACTAATCCAATTTTTTAAAGTTTATTTAGTTATTTTGAGAGAGAAAGCACACATATTTGTGCACCCAAGTTGGGGAAGGGCAGAGAAACAGGGAGAAAGAGAATCCCAAGCAGGTTCTGTCAGCGCAGAGCCCCATATGGGGATCAAACTCACAAACTGTGAGATCATGACCTGAG